CTTATATCCCATATTTAGTAGTTACTAATAAGCTTTAAGGAGTGTGGATATTTAAATGTTTTATGCCTTTCAGAAACAATAGTAACGTATTTCAACAATCTTAGCACATAATTTAAATAAGGAAGGTAATGGTCACATGATAGTTTCTTGGCTGTGAGGGAGTGAATCTGCTGAATTCTTGGCTTTTAGTCTTTTAACTGGTTCTTGAGACTTATATCCACAGGGCAGTTACAAATAATTTATAGGGCAGGTGTTAATCAGAGCAATGATTCTTTATATGTAACTGATGGTATGTATGAATCTAATAAGAACTATACAGTAATTGTGTCTATGTAAATATTTTATTTTGGTAATGTTTTAACTTGAGAATATTTAAGAAAACCATATATACTTTAATGAAACAAAGTTTCATTGTTTTATCATTTTCTTACTCTTTGGTGTTCTTGATCTCTCAGTGCTCTTGATCATCAGTGCTCCAGTTGCACCATCCTTCTACTCTTTTATCTAGTCTTACAGCATCCTTTTCCAGCAAGGAGAAGTAATACAGGACAATAAAGAATTTTAATCCTCAGCAAATCTCATGCTGCCTAGTGTAGAGAGAGATGACTTAAAGGAGAATCATGTTATTTCCCCTCTTTGTACTTTTTTAAGTGTTAGTGTTCTTAGTTTTAATTGTTTAAAAGAACAAGGAGTATGTGGCTGCTATTATTTTTGTTACTGCTTATCTTTTACTGATTTGGATAATAATCATGAGTTAAGTGTGGTCTCTAGCCTTGCATATTTAAAAACTCTTTTTCTTGAAGAGCTGAGCAAACAAGAGACATATACTATACAGCTAAATTGATGAGGACAGTTTTAACTCATTCTTTGAGAAACAAAAGCAGGTTAAGCAGACCAAAGTACCTTGGATAGCTTTGGAGGTACAGGCATAGATTTTTACTTTACTGGCTGTGATTTGTAGACATTTGTGCAGACTATTGTCCTTTTGTGTTATGAATATTCTTTCATATGAGAGTCATTTGATGGAATCATGATGTAATTTTCTTAAGTTAGGCTCATATTGATCTCCTTGATGAGGTAATGGAGTCTTTTCTTAATAAGGTGTTCTAAAAATCTTCTTCTGTGCTTTTATCCTCTCAGGGATGATTTTACTTTAAAGTTGTAGCCACATTTTTAAGCTGTGACTTTTTTTGGTGTATATATCTCTTAGTCACTTACATCTTCTTGATAGTGATCGCTTATAAATTATAATGATTAGTATTTGGTTGATAAGTTATTGCTATGTATGTTTACATAAACTTTAAAAATCTGTGTTTAATTTTTCAGTCTTCCTGAAGAGTAGGTTGAGGAGAGATTAGTATGTAGGGACGAATGTGGACAACTTTTTGAAAAATTTTGCTCTGAATAAAAAAGAGAGATGAGATGATAGCTGGAGGCAGAGGTACTTTTGCTTTTTTAAAGATGGATAATATAACATGTTTATTTGCTGATGGGAATAATACAGGATAGAAGGAGAAATTAATGATATATGGGAGAGGGTATAGTTATAAAAGCGAAACCCTTGAGTATTAAGCAAAAAAGATGGGATCCAGAGTGTCATTGGAGAAATGACTTTATTCATTTAAAAAGAAGTAAGCTAGTACAGATAAGTACAAATGTAGAAATTGGGTGAGGGTAAGTGGAAGCGTCCAGTTGCTTCAATTTTCTTGATGTGAGATCGTCAACTGAGGGAGATGGGAGAGGAGGGGATTGTTTGAGATTTGAAGAGAGAGAACAAGGTATGTAATAGCCATTTATGAGAATGGAAGAACTCAAACATCAGCGAAGTGTAGTATGATTGTATACGGCATTGCTGAGCACCAGCTTGAAATTCATGATCATAAATTTGAACGAGGCCAGTCAATATTATATTTTTATATAGTTTATATTCATAGCAATAAGCTTAATTTATCATTACAGTTACTTTTGGATGCTTACTTTGTGGCAGATACTATGTTAAGTGCCTTTTATTAATTATACTAACACTGAGAGTGTTATTCTGTTATTCCCATTTTATAGATGAAGAAGGAAAAGCACAGAGAGTTTGGGTAACTTGCCGAATATCACAAAACAAAATTTTGTAACATAATCATAGGTTATTACCCCTTAGAATTTACATATTAATATTTACTTTAGATGTGTATGTGTGTGTATGTGTGTGTAAATATGTAAGTTAAGCATAAAAAGAAATAGCACATTATATAAATGAGTTGAAGACTATTCCGTTTCCTTTCCTGGGCATAACTTCTCATGAGTTTAGTATGTGTGTAAACTTTCAGTTCATATATGATTTTAAAAGATTACATTTCTGTTTGATCAACTTTCTTTATCAGCATTATATTCTTGAATTCTTTGCATGTTAATATATATAGAGTTTATTCCCTTAACTACTGTGTAGTATTTCAATGTATAATACACCATAAATATATTTATCTAGCTCCTGTTGATGAGCATTTTCCAGTGTTTCACTGTCACTAACAATGCTGCAGTTAACACCCTTTTTGCACGTATGTTCTTCAGAGATGAGTCCAGGAAATGGAATTGCTGGGTAATAGAATATGCATATTTTTGATTTTGGTAGATACTGCCCCGTTGTCCTCAAGACTGGCTATGAATGAAATATGTGAGAGTAGCTATTTCTCCAGTACAAGTCTTAGTTTGTGAAACTGCTTCAGAATGCTCTGTATCTTATTCCCACTCCTTATTTGATTTTTCCTCTGATCCATTTTCTTCTCTCATTCTTTCTATTTAATCATCCTTATTTGTGGTAGAAAACAAAGGTATGAAAGCAAAAAGAAAAGGAACCTTTCATGTCCTTATTTTCTACATTTCAATGTTCAGTCTTTCATTGGTCATATATGACTTTCATGGAACTTTATCTTATATATGTGTGTGTGAGTGTACATGTGCTTATGTGTGGGAGGTGTATGTATGCGTTTATGTGTGTGGGTGTGGGTTTGTATGACTTGACCCAAATACCCTTGTTTACTTGTTCATCTTCCAGGGCAAGCTTTATTACCTCTGTGACACCATTCCTGATTCCTCCAATCAGAATTAGATAGGCCACCTCTTATACTATTTGTATTTCCCTTTATTAAGACATTAATCACATTATATTTACTTGTTTCTATCACCATTAGTCTATAAGGGCAGGGACTGTATTGAGACCAACATTGATTGCTCATGGCGGGCACACGATAGGCCGTGGTAGCTAAAAGGAATGAATTACTTTTGCCAGTGGAGGGCAACATGGGCATACAACTTATCGTAAACTTGTAACAAAATTTTTTATTTCTGAGGTTGCTGATGTTGTGGGGATGTATTTTAGAAACAAAATAATGATGTGGTATCTTGAGACCTGATTAAGAAAGAGTTGAAGTTTTTAGGTTTTCCTATTTCATCCCCTTGCCCAGCTCTGCCATTTATTAATAATTAATTACTCCTATGTTTGAAGTACAAAGAGAGAACTCAGTTTAGATTTCAGTGATTGGTATTAGCTTTTTCTTCCACTGGGCTAATTCAGACCTGTTGAGACAGTTGTTTGCTAAGATTTTGAAATTATACAAATGAGCCTTCAAGACTATCTGGATCTTTATCTCCTAGTCACACTCCCTGACCTTTAGGAGCTCGTTAAATATAATTCTCTCCATCAACTCTTGTTGATACCAGGTGATTTCCTTGGTTTTATGTGGGAGAGATGTGTCAATAAGGTCCCATGTGGCTGAGTCAGATGAAAAGTGACATTTCCAACATTGATTCTATGAAGTTCATATTATGAACCACTGCCTAGGACAGTCATGAAAGTCAATTTGGGGCTGTTCATCCACATCTATAATAGGATAGGAGAGAGTCACACAATTCACCATTTTTGACATTCTCCATATTTTTGGAGTTGGACGTAGGTATATATAATCTAGCAAAGTCTGCCATCACCTCTCAAGGGTAAGAATGATGAGTTCCACAAGGACCTAGGAATTACCACTTTGTCATCATCAATCATCCCTGGAGATGAAGAAAGGTGGTTGTAGAAGCATCTGAGTCAGAGTCTGTGTCCAGTTTGTTGTTTGTCTAGATGTCCTTAATTTCAGCAGTGAGAACCTTCTATTCATCTATTGAGCCATAGATCCTTCTGTTTAGTTTGGGATGGGTGCTAAATTCCAAAATGTTAATTGTTAGTGAAAGTTTGACCACTGATGACTTCTGAGTGATACTCTTTCTGCTTTGATGACAAATTATCACCTGTTCTGCTAAATTTCTTGCTATGCTTGTAACATTTTCTGTTTTTTTCTCCTGTTAATAGCTGTCTCCTCAGTCTTTTTTGATGCATCCTCTTCTATCCACTATTATTACAATTGAAAGTTAATTTATGTACATATATAGGTACTAAAACTAAATTCTGTTTTCACTTTTTTTTTTTTTGAGACAGAATTCACTCTGTTGCCCAGGCTAGAGTGCTATGGCATCAGCCTAGCTCACAGCAACCTCAAGCTCCTGGGCTCAAGTGATCCTCCTGCCTCAGCCTCTTGAGTAGCTGGGACTACAGGCATGCACCAGCACACCTGGCTAATTTTTTCTATTTTTAGTAGACATGGGGTCTCACTCTTGCTCAGGCTGGTATTGAACACCTGAGCTCAAGTGATCTTCCTGCCTCTGGCTCCCAGAATGCTAGGATTACAGGTGTGAGCTACTGTGCCTGGCCTTGTTTTCACATATTCTAATTTACACATAGTAATTGAAACTTTCAAAATCCAAAGTAACAAATTTTACTTGTGTTTACTACAAAAGCAAAGTTATTGGCTATAGCAAAATATGTAGTTTTTCTAAAATTGCTTATGATTGCCAACCAGAATATGGGTTAAAGTTTCAGAGAGCATGAGAAATGTCTAAGTTCAGTATATTAAACTTAAGAAAACTTGATTTATGTTTATATTAATGAAGATATTTTAAAAAATTTTTTCTAGGCCAAACGTATCCTGATCCGGCTCTTCCTCCACAAAGACGAGACAGATTTTATTCTAATTCTGGTAGACTATCTGGACCAGCAGAACTCAGAAGTTTTAACATGCCTTCTTTGGATAAAATGGGTACGAAATACTTTGTTTTCTTTCCTTCTTTCTTTCCTTCTTTGCTTCCTTCCTTCCTTTCCTTCCTTTCGTTCCTTTCCTAATAATGGTGGCATACTTGAGAACTGGAAGCTAGATTAAGGACTAAATAATTGCTATTTCTGGTGATTCTTAAAGCCAAAATCTCTTTCCTGAGAATGTCCTGGTTTTATGTTTCTTGTTATATTGTACACAGACACGGCATCTAAATATATGTGGTTTGAACATCATGGTGATAGGTTTACTGTATATACCTATGATGGTGAACTTTATTCCATGACTAATTTTCTAATTTTTACAGTCCACTTACATATATGTCCTGTTTAGTAAACAGGGAAATTAGGCAAGCAAATGTGAATGGATATGTGAAAATCCACCAGAAAAAATAACTAGATCCATGCTTTTTGATAGTTTAATCAGTTACCTTGTTTGAACATTTCATATTTTACTTGTGTTTAGATATATTTAACTAACATTTACTGAGCAATCTACTATTTGTGAGGCACTCTTTTACTCAAACTACCTCACAGCAAAATACTGAAATTGAGAAATATGTGTATCCAGTGTATCAATTAAAAGTATACAACATTAAGAAAATGAAAAAAAAATGTTTTGAAAAGTAGAAAATTAAAACAAATCTATTGGTAAAAGATTTACTCAGCAAAGGACATATATTTGGAATATTTATTATTCAGTTGAAGTATTTATTATTTTAGAAAATCAATATTTTAAAATAACAAGCTAAGAAGCAGACCTATAGTCTACATTTCTATTATTAGTCATAATTAAGTTAATTTTTCCTGTTTGGATTTAGGAATTGTTTTTCCCCCATTACTTCAGGCTTAATGGAATGAAAGTATATATGTGATGAAACATCCATTTCTAAATTAATGCTATTTAAAAGTTTTTACCTCTCCATATTTTTCCTGCTAGTTGAACAATAATATATAATTGAGCAAATAATTTTTAAGTGCCTACTGTTTAGAAGGCACCCTGTATGACATAATATAGGATATACTTATAGTGAGGAGGCATAGTCTCTGCTTATAAGAACCTAATAATTAAATAAGGATAAATATATATATGCTTAACTAATACTGGTCAGAATGGTAAGTCCTATTAGAGAGTATGTTGTGTTCAGAGAAAGGGAGATCCCCTGTCTAATTGAAGGATCAGGAAAAACTCAATGAAGGAAGTGACATTTGGGCTCTTTTGCAGAAATTTGAAAAATTAATTGAGCAGAAGCAAAAATAAACAAAAGAGACAGCACAAGTCATTGGTGGATAATGGCTTTAAAACAGATATTTATCAGTTGACAGCATTGTGGAGGGTTTAATGAGTTAATATGCGTGGAAGTGTTTCATAAATGGAAGAGTTCTATATAATATTAATAGTTTGTCAGTATATGTACTTATATACATGTATCAGTTTATGTTCTTACATTAGTTTATCAGTTTATGTCAGTATATGAAGGAGAATAGTGAGAGATGTGGTTGAAACATCTTGACTATCAGTAGTGTTCAATAAACATTTATTGAATGAAAATAAATTCTCTCATTTAATCTCCATAATAACCCTATGAAGTAGATACTTCTATCCTCATTTTATAGATGAAGAAACTGAGGCCCAAAAAAGTGCTCAAGATCTCAGGTAGGAAGTATCAGAGGGTAGGATTTGAATCCATGACTGTCTGGTGCCACAACTATGGTCTTGATCCCTATACTTTATTGAAATGAGAGGGTGGTGGACCCATTCATTGATGCACTTGAGTATCTTTTGAATGCTTACTGTATAACAGACATCATGGTAGTCGCTATATTTCAGGAGAGGACAGGAGACAGAAGCTCAGCATTCCTTATACCTTGAGATCTTGTAAAGGCCTAAAGGCAGTTACACTACAGAGTGACAATTGTTACGAGTACAACATGTTATGGGAGCATATGGGACCCTAAACCAGATGAGTGTTTTGAATGTGGGATGGCGAAGAAAAGCTTCTTGGAGGAAGTGACATATGAGGTGAGAATTAAAGGAGGGCTTAGCTGGACCAAAATGATGATGATGATGTTCTAGGAGAAGAGAGTAGCATCTTTAAAGATTTAGAGTTAAGGATGCCTCATAAATTATGGCTGTAACATGGACTATGAGTCAGGGAATATTGAAACAAGTAGCTGAAGAATTAAGCATTGTATAGATTTTGCAAAGCCTTGCAAACCCTGTTCAGAAATTTGGACCTTATTCTTAGAATAATGGTAACACACTAAAGGATTTTAAGCAGTGAAATGATATAATTATTAATAGATCTGCATTTTAGCAAAATTTCTCTGATTGCATTAGGGAGAATAGATTGGAAAATTAAGGAATGGAGCCTGGGTAACTTTTTAGGAGGCTATGACAGGAATCTAGATGAGTGATGGTGGTGATTTAGCAGAGGGAGTAGATTGATGTGAACAGACATGGAGAAAATAGAATTGAGAGGATTTAGGATTGAAGGCTGTGGGAGGTGAGGGAGAAGGAGTCTTGGCTGATGCCCAGGTTCCTGGCTGTGGCACCTGGGTGAACAGAGATGCCATTTATTGTTCTGAGACAAGGAACAAGGAGCAAGTTTGACAAGAAAGATTGTAACTTACCTTTCGAATTTACAAAATTAGTGACACCTGTGATACACCTGCATGAATATTCAAGGAGGCAGGCCAAGCTTTGAAGTCCTGGGGGCAGTATCTGGTTCTGAATTATAGATAGGGAAGTCAGTAGTAGAATATATATCTAATTAAAGCTACAGAATTGAATGGGATTTTTCAAGGCAAGAATGAGAAGATACTACAGCCGAGGGTGGAACTCTATATGGTCAGAAGTAGTAATCCCCACCAAAGAGACTGAGAAGCAGGAGCTGGAAAGGAGAGCTAGAGAGAAGGAAGGGTCCTGTCACATAAATCAAAGGCTGAGAGCATATCAAGAGGGAAAGAGTGATCAACATGGTGGGAAGTAATGTAAAATGAAGACTAAAAGTATCTATTTCAATTTAGCAAACAAAGAGACCTTTTGATCTTGGGGAAAATAATTTTAGTGGAGCAGATGTTGCAAATTGGTCACAGTAAAATGAGGACAAAATGGGAGGAATTCCAAACAACATACATAAAACAATTCTTGATTGTAAAGGAGAGAGGTGGCTGAAAGGGAAGTCTCTTTTTCTCTCTCATTTTTACATTGTCAGTAGAGACTTGGATCTATCAGAAAGAGAGGAGGGAACCAACAGAGAGAGGAAGTGCCTGAGGAAGCTGGAAGAGAGGGATTCTGAGCACAGGATGAGAGCCATAGATTGTCTAGAAAGATCCTTTTCTAGGATAATAGAAAGAAAGGTCATAAAAGTACAGTTGCTGTATACGTATCACAAAAAGTGAAGGGAGTTTCTGTTTAGAAGTCCAATGCACTATCCACTGTGCAACAGACCCCGATGTGAAGGGAGTTTCTAAGTGACTGGTGTAGTAGGTTTGAGGAGAATGGAGATTTGAAATTGCTGAGGAGAAAGCTGGCTTAAGAGACACAGAAGGAAGGTCAGGCAGTGTGCAGCCAGGAATATGGTGGATCCTGCAGCCTAGATCTCCAGTCTGCATGGCTCTTTGATTTTTTATTTTTACCCCCAGTGCTAGGTGACTCAGGTATAGGCAGAGTGGAAGCACAGATTTAGATTAATCTGGGCTTGGAATGTTATCAAGCATAAGTGAAAAATGACCAAAAGGGCAAGGATATTGATGGCTGGTTGAAGTGATGGACTTTGGAGTCTAGTTAATTGGGGAAGGAAGTCAAGGAAGGAGGAAACCGAGAGTTAGGTCAGAGGTTTGGAAGTATCAGTGACATCCAAGGACAGGTGTAGTGAGAGTAACTAAATGAGAAAGCTAGAAGAGGTGAGGTAGTTGTGGTGAGAGAGAGAGGGTTGTTTTAATTTATGTCTTCAGAGACCAACCAGTTCTTGATAACAACAAAGTTCAGGAACATTTATTTAGGAACAGTGACTAAATTCAAATAGCTGGTCTGTCTTACATGATGGAAGAATAAGGAAGGAGGGAAGGAAGGAAGAAGGGGAGGAAGAAAGGAAAGGAGAGAGGTGGAAAAATTAGAAGGAAGGAGAGGGGTTCTTTTTTTCCAGATGTTTCCTTAGGATGCTGCAGCAGCAGGATTGCCTAAAAGAACTAGCTGGAGAAATCACTGCCACACACTGTTGCAGAACTGAGTCTGCCAAAATTTCCAGGGACCTCAGACTGTTCTTAGAGCCCCAAGAAAGGATGCTGGTTTCAAGCTATTTTATGTGCCAACAGAGGAAATGGGAAAATATCAGTGTCATTTGTGATCTGGAAATATTCTAGGAACGGAGTGATAAGTCATGTATTTTTCATGGTATAACTTTTATGTCTAGATGGGCCAGTATCTTCAGAAATGGGATCCAGTAGAAATGATACCAAAGATGATCTTGGTGTAAGTACTGAAAGTGGTATTTTATCCATGTATTCAGGAGCCTTTTAATCTCTTGGTTTACTGGACTAGAAATATAGCTAATAATACGGTTTTTGATATAAAACTGCTCTATCTTTTTGACAAATATACTTCCTACTTAGCATTGAAGCTGTTTCTTTTCTGGATTTTATTCTATGTTGATGCAGTACAACTTGCAGACTAGGGATTTTAGTTACTTTACTAGTTAAACAAGATTTTAGATTTTCCGCTTTGGATTTCTATTTGAATATTTTAAAGTATATTTTTATTTATTACATGTGCAATATTGATTTTGGTCACCTTGAAAATATAAATGTTAAACATCTTGCCTCTTCTTTTTTTTCACTATATGCTTGGTAAAAGAACATATATTTTGGTACTCTTGGACTATACTTTTAACTTTAGCCATAATATTATTTTATTGGTTAAAGCTGTTTTCTGTTCACTTAGAAAATATTTGTGATAGCTAAAAACCAGCTATGTTAACATGGAAAACCGTGTGAAGCTTGGAGCTTTCTAAGACTGTCATGGACTGCTTTCTGCCTAGGTGCTTTTTTCTAAGCTTAAGATTTTCAGGAAAACTATTGCAAATTTTGCTGTTGCTTTAATGAATGCCACATGTCAATTTGTTATAGAATTTAAATGTGCCCGATTCATCTCTCCCTGCTGAAAGTGAAGCAACTGGCCCTGGCTTTGTTCCTCCACCTCTTCCTCCAATGAGAGGACCATTGTTTCCAGTGGATACAAGGGGCTCCTTCATGAGAAGAGGACTTCCTTTTCCTCCACCTCCTCCAGGAAACATGTATGGAACTCCTCGAGGTTATTTTTCACCAAGGGATTTCCCTGGTATACCACCTCCTCCATTTGCAAGTATGTTTTTTTTTTTTTCCAATTCAGTTATGTGTTTTATACAGTCAATCAGAGATACTAATTTTACTATCTGTTTATGTAGTAATACAGTAGAGGAAAAATTTTTCTAGCATTCTATGAGTATGCCATTACTTTTCCAAATTGGGAAGGCAGCCAGCCAGCCATCAGTGGACTGTAATGAGGCTTCGACTTGATTCATCTTAATTATTAAATGTGGAATTATTTCTATATTTTAGTAGTCAAGAAAATCGTTGGCTTTTTGCAGCAGTCTTAAGATAAAACTAAAATTATCTATATCTCACTTGATAGAGACTGGTTATTGTGGCAATTAGTTAAGATAATTATAGTTTATCTTTTAGCATTCAAATTACTGACTAAGGTATTTTTAAAAATCTTTTTCATAAGTTGTTCCCATGTAATCCTACTTATTTAAAACCTAAAATGTATTTATCATGTTTGGACTAATTGTTTGTTGGTTGTATTGAAATTTTTTCATAGCCTCATGAAAGAAAAATGGAGTAATTTATTGCTTTATATTTATACCATTTAGAACTGTGGATTTCTGCAGAATAAATATATGGTTATCAAATAATAGGCTTTTTATAGTCATAAGACTGTATAAATAATCATTCCTTCCCTCATTCCCCCTCTATTTTTAAAGTTTAAGGTGAATTAAAATGAGTTTTGTTTGGGGAACTTTAAGATGGTCTTTTGATATAACTGGAAATGTTTTAATATAATATCAACTTAGAATTAGGAATCACTGATCTGAATTTTTAAGTCTGGTGAAAATTATATTACATGAAAATGTTTTTTAAAGTAAGTTTTATATATTTTGAAATAATTCCTCTCCTTTTTTCAAAGTGTTAAGATAGGACAAAAACTGCATCTAAAATTGATGATATTCCCGTTAATAATATGTTGTTGAAGAGGGTACATTTTTCTCAATGTTGTAAAAATTAATTTGTTAGATCAGGTAATTATTCTGGTGGCAATTTTTAAATATAAAAATAGATATTGAAAGTTATAGGCCGGGCGCGGTGGGTCACGCCTGTAATCCTAGCACTCTGGGAGGCTGAGGCGGGTGGGTCGCTCAAGGTCAGGAGTTCGAGACCAGCCTGAGCAAGAGCGAGACCCTGTCTCTACTAAAAGTAGAAAGAAATTATCTGGACAACTAAAAAAATAT